TGTTTTTAACCAAACAGTTGATGGTAGCCATTGACTTTCATAGTATTTTTCCACATACTATGGAAGTCAACTGTTCGGTTTTTCAAAATATTCAAAATAGCTTTAGTTTTTAACAGAAGACAGAAACTCATACAGGTTTAGAACAATTGAAATGATGACAATGATGACACCATTTTCTTTTTGGGGTGAATTTTGACATTTCCAATCATAGTTCACGTCAGCGCCATTGAGAAACTACAGCATTTTACAGTATTTCCATGGCAAAAAATTTAAACAGAGGCTTGAGCTTGAATATAAAAATTCATGATTATGGTGCTCAGTTTGAAATGTGTTGAAAATTACCAGGCTTAAAGGAACACTCCACTATTTTTGAAAATAGGCTCATTTTCCAACTCCCCTGGAGTTAAACAGTTGAGTTTTACCGTTTTCGAATGCATTCAGCCGATCTCCGGGTCTGGCGGTAGCACTTTTAGCTTAGCTTAGCATAGATGATTGAATCTGATTAGACCGTTAGCATCTCGCTCAAAAATGATCAAAGAGTTTCTATATTTTTCCTATTTAAAACTTGACTCTTCTGTAGTTACATCGTGTACTAAAACCGACGGAAAATGAAAAGCTGTGATTTTCTAGGCCGATATGGCTAGGAACTATACTCTCATTCCGGCGTAATAATCAAGGAACTTTGCTGCAGTACCATGGGTGCAGCAGGCGCAATGATATTACGCAGCGCCTGAAAATAATCCCAGCTAGGTAACGTGCAATAAGCCTACTTTGACATATGAACATATGAAATCTAGAAAAATTCATTAAACTTCTTAAAACTGTTTTAAAAGGTGCATTTTGATATGCATGATAGTGTTTTTTGATATTATAATTTTAATAACATTTAGTTTTTGGAAGTTTTTAAAAATGTTATTTTTAAAAAGAAAATAAAAAATATTCTCAACATCTTATCTTTAAACTATAGTTTAATTTTATATTTAAGTTTGGCAATTTTTTTTTTTTTTTTTTAATTACAACTTTTATTAATCAAGAATGTATTAAATTGATCGAAAGTAACATTAAAGACATTTATTGTGTTATAAAAGATTACTATTTCAAATAAATGCTGTTCTTTTGAACTCTCTATTCATCAAAGCATCCTGAAAATTAAAATATATATCACAGTTTCCACAAAAAAAATATTCATCAGCACAACTGTTTTCAACATTGATAATAATCAGAAATGTTTCTTGAGCAGCAAATCAGTATATTAGAATAATTTCTGAAGATCATGTGACACTGAAGACTGGAGTAATGATGCTGAAAAAAATCAGTTTAGTTAATAACATATTTGGACTTGCTAGCAAAACAAGTTTGAATATTTAAAGTCAAATGTAACAGATTTTCTCTCTTTTATCTTCAAACTGTCACTGCAATTGTTTTTTAAAAAATGAGGCTGAGGAAATCACGGCGAGCACAACTCATTCACTCTCGACACCTGCAGCTGTGCACGCTCGCTATAAAGATGAATCAACATTCAGATGTCAGCGGAGACAAAGACAAAGTCGTCCCCGCTCTGCTGCATCAATCACAGGACGAGTGGAGACGATACAAGAGATCAGAACTCACTGACACCAACAACACAACATGCTTTTGGGAAATATGATGCAATGTATTCCTATATGCCCTTCAGAGCAAATATAGACAGTTATATTTATTTCCATGAGCAGATCGTGCACCGCAAACCTTCCGTCTGTGCGACTCGAGCGAGGCCTGTGTTAGACGACATGAAGTGTGTTCCCTGCTGAGTGTGCGAGGGAAGTGAACGCAGCGTGAGAGACGGCGTCCTACAGATGGCAGCAGAAACACACTGCAGGAGGACCGACGTGAAGAGAGAGAAAACAGAGGAAGGGCCAGCAGATGGAGCGAGAACCGGCGTGCGATGGAGAGCTGTAGATCTTGTCCTACTGCTTTGCTCCATTAGACAGCATGAACAAGAAAAGATAAAGGAGAGCGAGAGAGAGAGAGAGAGAGAGAGAGAAGAGGGTCGATCAAGGGAGCTGCTCTTAATTGCCTCTTCACTCATTAATGCCCACACCTCCACAATCATTAATTACAACCGAGAGACACAGTGAGAGAAAGAGAGAGAGAGCAGATAAATTCAGGCACAAATTAAACGTAAGGCCTGAAACAGACTCAGTCTCAGACGTTATAGTATTTTAGTTAAAAACATCTTAATGATGGATTTGTCTCAGCTTTTGGCTTCTCCCGATGTGAACTGATGGACTGGAGTGGTGTGGATTACTTGTGGATTATTGTGATGTTTTTATCAGCTGTTTGGACTCTCATTCTGACGGCACCCATTCACTGCAGAGCATCCATTGCTGAGACACTGATGCAATGCTGCATTTCTACAAACCTGATGAAGAAACAAACTCATCCTAATCTTGGACGGCATGAGGGTGAGTTAAGTTTCAGCACATTTTAATTTTTGGATGAACTGTTCCTTTAATTGTTTATATTGACAACTTTTATGATACACATTGAAAACAGTTGTGCTGCTTCATATTTTTCTGGAAACTGTGATGCATTTTATTTTTCAGGAAGAACAGCATTTATTTGAAATCGAAATATACTGCAGAGCATCCATTGCTGAGACACTGATGCAATGCTGCATTTCTACAAACCTGATGAAGAAACAAACTCATCCTAATCTTGGACGGCATGAGGGTGAGTTAAGTTTCAGCACATTTTAATTTTTGGATGAACTGTTGCTTTAATTGTTTATATTGACAACTTTTATGATACACATTGAAAACAGTTGTGCTGCTTCATATTTTTCTGGAAACTGTGATGCATTTTATTTTTCAGGAAGAACAGCATTTATTTGAAATCGAAATATTTTGTAACACTATGCATAGGTTTTCTGTCACATTTGATTAATTTATTGCATCCTTGATGAATAAAAGTGTTAATTTCTTTAAAAATAAAAATTAATCTTACTGACTCCTAACCTCAAACTCAATTCAGAGATAAACGCACTTGAGAAGCAAAATAATAAGACTTGTGTTCAGAGATATCTTGCATAAAGTTGATTGTTCTCCTTGTTCCTCCACAAATTTGCTTCTCAGGTAAACTGATCATATTTGAAAGATGTTTAGATATTTGTTTTACTGGAACACAAGATACGAAATAATGATGAAGAAAAGCATGAAGGGATAATTATGCCTAATTAGAAATGTAATTGTTTGGATTTTCAAAAACTTTAAACCACTGTTGAATTTATTTGAATTGCAATTCAGTGAATTCAAGTAAATCTAATTCTAATTCTGATTCAATATCTTTGATTCAAATTCACACTTATGAATTAATTTTAATTAATTTCTTAAATTCAAAATTTTACTCTCTCTCTCTCTCTCTCATTTTTACCCAGAAGTGAGCTAAATCTAACAAAACCTCCTTTAAGTAGTAAATAAAGATTATTGGAGATTATTGGAGTATTTTTTACAAGAAAATACTCCGTCCGTCCATCTTTCTACTTAAAAATGTCATTACTTACTCGTTACTTGTCATTTCTTGGTAATTATCTGTGAGATTTATAGCAGTTTCTGAGTGAAAATTGTTTCAAAGTAAATCCTACACTGTGTATAATTTACTATTATTTTTTTGTAATTCAAATTGCAAAAATGCATGTTTTCTGTTAGGATTAGGTTATACTGTATAGTCTATGAAACGTCCCAAATTAAGAAGGCTGAATGTGTTACCTGTGTGAGGTGAGTATAACAGATCTGCCCTCTTTAATGACGCTGAGGATACAGTCCCACAGAAAACGCCGGGCCTTGGGGTCCATACCGGTGGTGGGCTCGTCCTGCACACACACACACACACACACACATGAACACACAACAACAACAACAGACCTCCACCGCATGAACGGGCCAGACATGGGCAGATACCTTCAGGGAGCAGGAGGCGGTCTGCTCGTCCACCACGGCCTTCTTCAGCACCTGATTCTGAGCTCTGAGCTGACACACACACACACACAGCAAACACACCACTGCTTATACAGTTCACCAGAACACATTTAATCATTTAAACACTTTTAACGTTAGAAGATGAAATGACAAATGATAGGAGACAGTGTGAAATCACTAATGTCTGTTGAAGAAGAGCTCACCTTTGAGTACTCCTGGGCCAGTTTACTGTATTTACTCTGCAGATCCGCCACGTTCGCCATGATGTTCGCTGTCAGGTGTGTGTGAGTGTGAGAGAGTGTGTGTGAGAGAGTGTGTGTGTGTGTG